TACATACGGTCAGAAGTCGCTCACTCTAAATCTTAGGTTTCCGCGAATTTTTCGCTGGATTTTTCTTATTGCTGATGTCCACCATCCCATCTTGGGAGCAGATTTTTTGTCATATTTTAGCCTCTGCGTCGATGTACGTCATTCACGTCTTTTTGACACCACAACCCGACAAACCGTTACAGGGGCCATCACAAAGGCAACTCTGTTACCCTCACCTGCTCTTCACAGCACCATTTCTATCTATGACAACTTATTGAGAGAATTTCCAAACCTGGCTAGACCAAGCAACATTATGCGGCTTTTAAAGCATAATGTTACACACCATATTGTAACCTCCGGGCCACCGGTTTACGCTAGAGCTTGAAGACTAGCTCCGGAACGCCTTCAGATCGCCCGTCAAGAATTTGACCACATGCTGGAACTGGGCATCATCCGACCATCTTCGAGTTCATGGTCTTCTCCACTTCACATGGTACCTAAGGTGACTCCAGGTGATTGGCGTCCCTGCGGTGATTATCGCGCCTTAAACAACGTAACACAAGCTGATCAATACCCCGTGCCTCACATTCAAGACTTCTCAAGCAAACTCCACGGGATGAAAGTGTTCTCTAAAATAGATTTAATCAAGGCTTACCACCAAATTCCCATCGAACCAAGTGACATTCCCAAAACGGCTATTACCACTCCATTTGAACTTTACGAATTGATCCGTATGCCATTTGGACTTCGAAACGCTGCACAAACGTTCCAGCAATTTATTGACCAGGTGACAAGAGGACTCGATTTTTGTTTTGCTTACCTTGACGGTCTCCTCGTTGCAAGGAGAAATCAAGAACACCTGGAGCATCTCCGCCTTCTCATGACACGTCTGGAGGAGAACGGCGTCATCATCAACCTAAACAAATGCCAGTTCGGCGTTCAGGAATTGATTTTCCTTGGGCATCGCCTTGACACCAACGGCATTAGACCACTACCGGATAAAGTAGACGCAATTATTCGTATTCCAAAGCCCCAGAACCTCAAGAAATTGAGAGAATTCCTGGGATTCATAAATTTTTTCCGGCGTTTCCTTCCTAACTGTGCTACTACTATCCAGCCTCTTACAAAGGCCCTGTCTCCTAAAAACAGCAAAGACCAAGACATCATCTGGACGGATCGCAGAGTCCTCGCATTTGAGAGGATTAAGGACGACCTCGCGAGTGCCACGATGTTGGTTCACCCGGTGCCTAACGCTCCAACGCGTGTCATGACCGATGCGTCCGAAGAAGGCGTCGGGGCTGTTTTACAACAGAACATTGAGCAGCTATGGCAACCTCTCTCCTTCTTTTCTCAGAAACTACGCCCATCAGAAAAGAAGTATAGTACTTTTGGAAGAGAACTCTTGGCAATACATCTCGCACTGAAACATTTTCGATACTTCCTCGAAGGATGCTCCTTTCACATACTCACCGATCACAAGCCCTTGACTTATGCCTTAACATCCAGTGGACATACATACTCTCCTCGAGAAATCAGGCAAATGGCGTTCATTATAGAATTCACAACCGATATCAGATACGTCAAAGGTTCTCGCAACCACGGAGCCGACGCTCTCTCCCGCGCAGATATACAGTCGTTGGAAGGAACCTTCTTGAGTAGCGTCGATTTTCATCAGATGGCGCGGTCCCAACAGTCAGACCAAGAACTTCAAAATCTACGCTCTGGACACACCGCGCTCAGGTTCGAAGATCTTCATCTTCCATGGTGCAGTGCCACTCTAACGTGCGACATCCCTACAGGCACACCACGTCCGTTTCTTCCTCAGCAGTTCCGTCGTCAAAGCGGCCGGTCAGGTTGCGTTGAAATTACGTAATATTGCGTTGAAGTTACGTAACTTCAGCGCAGTATTGCGCTTCACACGCGCTCAGTCTTTCTGAAAATTACTGGTTTAGGGGTTTTGGACGACGTTCAGTGAAAATAGACCATATGTCTATTTTCACTAATTAAAAGCTAATAAATAAACTTAATTAATTAATAAATAAAGCTAATAAAGTACCGCTCGTGTACCAGGAACAAGGCTGCGGCTAGATGAGAGACAGAAAATTTACGCAGGCGCCTTACCGAAACCGCTGGCCTTGCACCTGTTCCACGAGTGGTACCAAATTTAGTGCGCTTCTCACACGCTGAAAGACTTTCTGAAAATGACTGATTTAGGGATTTCGGACGACGCCCAGCAAGCTTCTTATTGGAACCATATGTCTATTTTCACTAATTGAAAAGTTAATTGATCAGTTTTAATTAATTAGCCGAGTAATCGCAAAGATTAGCCTCCCATGTATTGTCCCCCTGGGCGTATAACTCACTCGCACAAACCGTATAAGTGTAGTTTTCATGAACTTTTTTAAGAACAAATCTGCAAGAATAAAAAAAAAACACCCTGATATGGCAGGCAGATATACCCTGTGGTGATTTCGGACTTCAATGTAGAAGAAAAAAGAGGACGACGACGAAAAGGAATGCTGATGTGGCTGGTTGACTGTGTGTTTGTGTGCACGGAGAAAATTTGGCGCGAGTGGCGGGTGGTGGAAAAAGAAGAAGTAGAGGGAGGCCTGGAGGTGACCGAACAGGACAAGCGAGCAGGATCAGGGCCGGTTTTCTCGAAGCGATGGTAAACCCATTTTGGTAAACCACGGTGCCTAGGAAGGGAAAAGTACCTAGGTACTGTAATAAACGGCTGGATATAGAAGAACAATAAGTATTTTTGATTGGGCAATAAGATGCGCCATCTATCGGTGAAAAAAGCCAGTCGTTTTGTTTATCCTCTTTTTCCGCTGGTTGTCATCGATCTAGTATGGTATTTTGAGTCAAAATATAGTAATGTTGTACTTGAAGACCAATTTATTTGCTTCCGATGGTACGAAGAAATTTTAGCTACTATGCTAGAGTTTGTCGACGAATATTCGAAAATGTAAGAAACTTTTCCTTCAATATGTTTCGCCATAAATAACCCATAACTTTCCCGTGTTTCTTCCAGTCTGGCAACGCCGGCGCTGTAGTCTCGTTTTCGTTCCTTGCGACGCACGTTTCTGCGATTCCTGCTGATCTGAACTGTTTGCCCTCTCTTCCATTTGCCCAACCGATTCACCGGTGACGAGAAGCTAAGCTTCTCGTCACCGTTGAATTGCTGGCCACCGGGGATATGTAGAAACCTCAATGCTGTCGGCATACTGTCGGCGCACTGCGAACAAAAAAAACAGTACAATGTCTCAGCTGTTCACCCCGACCGAAGACTTTATTGAGGATAACTCTTTTTCTCCGCAAAGTAATCGCTGCTCACGAGTTGTCGTGCATAGTGTAACAAATTAAACGTCTTACTATAAATATGTACCAACACTCGTTCGCAAAACATTTTTTTTACTCACCATAAAGACATGGCGGTACATAATCAAGGCTTATGTACCGTCATGTCTTGGATCCCGGACTGCTGAAGAGTGATGCGTTCGCGGAATGCTGCCGTCGTTTAGTTTAGTAGTCCCTCTGAACTATCGCTTTGCTTGACGTGGTAATAGGTTGATGGTGAGTCATTAATATAACAGCCAGATCGAAATGAATGTTCAGCAGAACCAAGCAGAACTATTAGCCCTCATTAAGCGACGCCGCGGCCATTTTGCTTCTAGGTACTGCTCCTCCCTCGGCGCCCCTGCTCTCCCAGTCACGTGACCTGGAATTCCCCCTTCTAGGGACAATAGTTAACTTTAAACCACGGTTCGCGTTCGAGAAAACGGGCCCTGGTGGACGAAAAAACCGACCCGCAACGATAGGCGTGGTCGGCACGGCTTCAGTTCGTCGTCCACAAACACAGGCCTGGTCAGAGGGCCTCCGAGGCTGCCCTGCCGCTACTTCAGGCCACACTCTTCAAGCCACCCCGTCGTCCACTACCCAGCCCCAACGCGCCAATCTACCTGGCATCAAGACTTCGGCGTGCCAACCACGATCAGAACTCAGACCCGCTTCACGGACTATGTGAAGTACTCCTCTTTAATTACCCTTTAAGTGCTAGATTTTCCGATAATTAATTTTTTTGAATTTTCTCATTCTCTAGTGTTTAACGCTTTAATATATTTTCGTACTGGCCCAAAGATGTCGTCTCTTTGTCCATGCTCTTCGCGTCGCACACCCACGCAAGCGTGAACGCGGTCCACTACATACCCCCATTTGGCAGACCCAGATATGGATATATAAAACATTGGGCAGATCTGGCTTGTTAAGGCTTATATAAACTGATGTGCTTAATATGGGCCAGATCTGCCGAATTTTTTATATATCCATATTTGTTTTGTTTTTTTATATATAAGTCCAGATCTGCCATTTTCGTAAGGGCACAATCATTTAATAATTTGAGACTTATATATATTCAATTTGTTATAACGCATTAAACAAGATATATTTATATATCTGTGATATTAGTTTGAGTTCTTTTGTC